GTTCTCGTATTGCAACAATTTGTTTAGTGATCGTTTGAAGTTACGATGCCACTGAGAAAAAGTGACTTATGACCCGTTCTTGACACATATACATGTTGCCACATTTATGCACCCAAAATTCAGGGTGACCGACTCGTATCTATGACGGCTGCGGTGTCCCAGAGTTCACGCGGTCCCCTTTTGCGACCTTTTGCCAAGCACAACTTACTAACTTAACAACTTCGGTATCCGCTACTTAACCACTGTAGCATGAAGAGTCAACATAAAATGGGTCTTCTGCTCGTCTCCTTCAGCTGTTGCTTCCTCTCTCCTCTCTCTAGAAAGCTACGGCGATCAGTACAAGAAGGACAACCAAAACGTCTACTTTGGATTCAACATCAAAACCATCCGGAATGCCATTAGTAACCCCAACTTGGTGTACCGGGCAGAGCTGAGGATGCAAGCCTCTGGCAAAGGGCAAGAACAGCGCCTGGAGCTTTACCACGTAAGATGGAGTGGACTGTAGTCTGGATTCCCAGAAGGGAGGGGCTGCATTCCTTGAGAAGCAAGAGATAGTGAAGCGTGGAGTGTTGCCGTGGGAGAAAGAGGGAGAGGACAGATCGTCCTTAACCGTTCCCAGAGCACAGGGAGCTTTACCAGGTAGGATGGGGTGGACTGTAGTCTGGATTCCCAGAAGGGAGGGGCTGCATTCCTTGAGGAGCAAGAGGTAGTGAAGCTTGGAGAGTTGTTGTGGGAGAAAGAGGGTGAGGACAGATCCTCCTTAACCATTCCCAGAGCACAGGGACTCTCTGAGGTAAACCATTTGTTTAGCGACCGACCGAAGTGACAAAAAGTAACTTGGAGAACTTTATTTATCATACTAACGACCGTTGTCATGGTCCCGTGATCAAAATTTGGGAGCTTGGCAACTGGCGTGTCTTTACGCCTGTTGTACTGCCACGAGGATCATAGGATCACCAATTCTTACCTTCCCAGCCGGCTTCTGACAAGCGAAGTCTCAATAAGGGACGCCAGATTCGTTTAATGCCTGCACGATTCACTTAACAACTGAAGCGATTCACTTAATGACCACAACAACAAAAAAAGCAACCAGAATAGGATGGAGGAAAAACAGGATCGGAACACAGGACTGGAATCTGAAATCTTCCCCTCTGTTTTTTATATTCTACTCTGGAAAGTCTCTTCATGCCAGAGTGGATAAATTTAGTAGGAAAAAGAGGGAAACTGCGGTTTTATACTTTTCACATGCTTTTATAAACCCTTTGGCTTTGATCTCTCTCCCCCCACCCCCCGGGAAACGGGTGATAGTTTTGCCTGTTGGTTTGGCCCAAAGAGCAGAAAAAAAGCCAAAACAAAAAAAAGGGGGTTTGAGGACTAGAACCTTTTTCTTTTAAAACCTAAAGCTCGAAAGCTGGATGAGACAAAGCAGGCACGGATAGTTTGATGGGCTTTGTGAATGTCCACAGAAGCTGTTCCTTTAAGGTGTTTTGCCTTCTCCCTCTCTCTGTATAGCAAAAAAACCACTCGGGGAATGATTCCACTTGGTACTACCTTCAAGGGCTGTCGTTAAAGGTGAAGAGCGAAAAAGAATGGCTGTCCTTCGATGTCACCACTGTTCTCCGGTTGTGGCTCGCAAGTAGAGGTAAGGTGGAAGGAGGGGGAGGCATGACTGGGGAGGGGGGGGGAGGCACCGGGGACTGGCTCTCCTTTGTGCCAACGAAAAGGTAGACCTCGTTCTCGGGATCCTGTCTGCAAACGTAGCAGTTTTGAGATGGGCGGACTTCAATTCCCAGAATTCTAGTGAATTCCGATGTATTCTGGGAGTTGAAGTCTATGGGACTGCGTTCCAAATATCATCCAGAATTAGATCAGAGTCCAAGGCATAGCTTTCATCAAAGCTCCAATTTAATAAGAGAGACATGTTGGTGCAATCTGTGGAAACCCGAATCTGAAAGCTTCCTGGGTTTCCACCCAGTTGAAAGGAACTGGGTATGTCTAGTTTAATAAAAAGAAGGACTAGGGGAGACATGATTGCAATCTTCCAATATCTCAGGGGTTGCCACAGAAGAAGAGGGAGTCAAGCTATTCTCCAAGGCACCTGAGGGCAGGACAAGAAGCAATGGGTGGAAACTAATCAAGGAGAGAAGCAACTTAGAACTGAGGAGAAAATTTCCTGACAGTTAGAACAATTAATCAGTGGAACAGAAGTTGCCTCCAGAAGTTGTGAATGCCCCAACACTGGAAGTCTTTAAGAAGATGTTGGATAGCCATTTCTCTCAAACGGTATAGGGTTTCCTGCCTAGGCAGGGGGTTGGACTAGAAGACCTCCAAGGTCCCTTCCAACTCTGCTATTGTATTGTATTGCATTGAAAGTTCAAAACCTTGCCCCCCCCCTACCCACAAGTCCATCACATGGTCCATGTGCCACGCTGGCATTTCCACCCACCAAGTTCCGGTCAGGTGCAAAGGAATGTTTTATTTTGACACCACATTCTGCTCCTTACTATTCCCCCTCCCAATTACCCCACTAATGAAACAGCGTAGTAAAATAATAGAAAGTGTGGCAAGATCCTAAAAGGAATATAACTGCAGGCCTGACACTATGCCTCTTAAAACCTGCCAGCTGGGGAATTCTGGGAGTTGAAGTCTACGCAATCTAAAGCACGCAGGCTGGAAATTCTGGGAGCTGAAGTCCACCCAGGGGTGAAATGCTAGGGGTTCAGGCTGCTTCACTCGAACCGGTAGTAAAAAAAAAATGCTTTAAAAAAGTTTTTTTTTTAAGTTTTGAGGATTGCGTGGCACAGCTCCTTGTCGCCCAGCTGATCATCAAAACTTTTTTTTAAAACTTTTTAAGCAGAAAAATACAGCAGAAAAATATTTGTTTTTTTTTTAGCAGGAACTTACTTTAAACAATCAGAACTTATCCACAACTAAATCAACATTCTGATCCAACAAGAAATAGATCAAAGTCACCTTTTTGCACTTAAGGTTAATGGCAGAATTTAACATGGAAAAGGGTCGTCAAATATTTGCAAACAAACTGCAAAATGGCATATATTTGAGTGATACTATTTAAAAAAACAGAAGAAATCCCAGCAATGATTACATAACAGGCATTAGAGAGTTCCTTTTGCTAGTACCTCCACAAAGGTTGATTTCAGAGATATCTCATGAGATCCAGTGGGAGGTTCAATCAAAAATAAAATGTATTTTTTAAAAAAAAGGCTTTTTGAACCACACCATAAATTTATTTCGTTGTGAATACTGCATTTTGAGTAGAAATAACGGGGGCGTATTTAAAGTATTTTACAGTATCAGTTCTCTATCTTGACTTTACCTGCGGCCACATTGCTACCCAGCCGGATTTCCTACGCCCCCACCCCTCCTGAGTGCACCCATCTTAAAGTATGCTGGCTGGGGAATTCTGGGAGTCAAAGTCCCCCACACCCCATCTTAAAATTGCCAAGTTTGAAAAACCTTCAGGGAAAATGATATATGCCAACTTGCTCCAAAGCTGGAAGGGGGCCATCCGATAAAAACTTCCGAGATGAGCAAATTTTGCTTTAAGCACACTTCGATTCTGCCTTGGGGTGTGAGTGGGGGGCTTCTCTGAAACAGCTTGCTGGCTTTGGAGAGGGCTCCAATCCTCACCCCACCCCACCCCAATCCTAATGTATGTATTTCAGACGAGCTGGGGAGATTCCGGCTTAGCACGCACTGTTCCTGTGATGGCATCCGAAATGATCTAGCGATACAAATTGAAGGTAAGAACTGGGCAAGGGGGAGTGGGCGGAAGATGGGGGGGGGTGTTGCCCCATCCAATATCTCATTTGACCCCATTTGCTAATTAAGTCTCTAAATAAGGGTCATAGGCTCCCACGCACCACCCCTTCTATGGGAAGAGACTCCTCCTATCACTGTTCACTTATTGGCTGTTTGAAGTTGCAACGGCGTTGAAAAGCGTGACTTATATCCAGTCTAAAGGATGAGGTGGCTAAGACGCTGAGCGTGTCGATCAGAAGGTTGGTAGTCCAGCGGCTCGAATCCCTAGCACCGCGTAATGGAGCGAGCTCCCGTTACTTGTCATCCTTGCCAGGCGACGCTGGCCGGCTTACGGTGTATTATTTCCTCCCCTTCGTTTCCTTTTATTTTATTACATAATAATATTAGTACCGCTTTCTAAAGCCTGAGTCAGCTGAAATCTGCAATAGTGGCATCCAGTCTTCGTCACCACATTACAAGAAAGATGTTGAGACTTTGGAAAAAGGGCAGAGGAGAGCAACTGCTAGCATAATTAAAGGCCTGGAGACTAAAACATACGAAGGACGGTTGCAGGAACTGGATTTGGCCAGTCTATAGAAAAGAAGAACCAGGGGAGACATGATAGCAGTCTTCCAATATTTGAGGGGCTGCCCCGAAGAAGATTTGTGGGTCCACCTATTTTCCAAGGCACTTGAAGGACAGAGAAGAAACAAGGGTTGCAAATTAATCAAGGAAAGAAGCAACGTGGAACTAAGGAGAAACTTCCTAACAATGAGAACAATTAGCCAGTGGAACAGCATGCCACCAGAACTTCTGGATATTCCATCACTAGAGGTTTTTAAAGAGAGGCAGCCACTTGTGTCAAATTGTATAGAGTCTTCTGCTTGAGCAGAAGTGGGGAGGGGGGCTGGACTAGAAGACCTCCGAGGTCCCTTCCGGCTCTATATTGATGGAAATGTTGATGAAAATATCTTCACAACATTCCTGTTGGTCATGTAACATTGCAGCCAGGAAGCGAAGCTGCGGTGGAGGCTGCAAACCACAAGGGTCAGGGCTGCCCAGGAGGAAGGATCAAACTCCTGCCAAGCCAAGGCCAGCTCCTCGGCCTGTGAGATGACTCCAGCCCTCCTGCTTTGTCAACAGAGGTTTACGGGCCAGTGTGGGACGCATCAATGCGCGCACTGTATTCGCAGAGCACATCGTGGCTTTGCAAGGCTCCTTCCGGGTTAAGGATAATTTGCAAGGAATTGAAAGCGGGGGGGGGGGGGGAACCCACCGGCATTCAGAAGATAAATCTTTGGCCGTGTCCCTAATGGGGGAGTTGAGACCCAGGCCTTGACCGGAGGGCCTCCCCTGCTCCCCTCCCTCTCTGCCCCCTCCCCCTTTTGCACACCTCTGCTGCCTGCAAAACTTCGCAACTGCAACTCACACAGTCAAATTTTATTCTGGGAAATTGGCTCAGCCGACTTCCTTCTTCTGATGCCTGCTGTTCTTTCAGCCCTTTGGGCTGGGGCGGGGGGCTAGCCGGGGGTGTGTGTGTGTGTGTATGCAAGCCCTATCAAGCCCACTGACTCAGTGTGTGTGTGAGTGTATGCATGTGTCTCTCTCTCACACACACACACCCATGTGGTACAGCCGGCTAAGAATCTCCTTCACGGAATTGCTGAAAACTGTGCACATTAATATAACACATGCACACTGACTGAGTTATGTCAGCCAAAAGAAAGTAACAGTATAGTAGAATTGAATAGCGTAGAATAGAATAGAACAGAATAGAACAGAATAGAGTAGAATAGAATAGTAGAAGAATAGGAATAGAATAGAAAAGAAAAGAATAGGAATAGAATAGAAATAGGAATAAGAATAGGAATAGAATAGAATAGAACAGAATAGAGTAGAATAGAATAGTAGAAGAATAGGAATAGAATAGAAAAGAAAAGAATAGGAATAGAAATGGGAATAAGAATAGGAATAGAATGGAATAGAATAGAACAGAATAGAGTAGAATAGAATAGTAGAAGAATAGGAATAGAATAGAAAAGAATAGGAATAGAAATAGAAATAGGAATAAGAATAGGAATAGGAATAGAATAGGAATAGGAATAGAATAGGAATAGAATAGAATAGGAATAGAATAGAATAGGAATAGAATAGAATAGGAATAGAATAGAATAGGATAGGAATAGAATAGGNGAAGACCTCTGAGGTCCCTTCTGTGACCCTGTTAACAGGAGGAGGCCTCTTCTCTGCAGGTAGATGCGGAAGGTCCTCCCAGCTGACCTCTGGAGCGCCCACCCAAGTCCGCGTTCCCTGAAACCTGAGCTCAGGGGCTGCACCCGCTACTCAAGGCCGCCCATCCACCCCACCACCACCCCAACTCTGCCCCTGGTCATCCTCTCTCCTCCCACACCAGCCTTAACGGGATCGTCTGGGCCAGGGTGCTCCTGACCATTCCTGCTGCTTCCTCCCTCGTGCCACTGCTAATCCTGCTGTCCCACCAAATCATCACAGTTGTAGCTACTCAGGGTACAGGCACATTCAAGGTGAGCCTCTTGGGGAGAATGGGAGAGAGAGAGACTGACAGACAGACAGGTAGAGGGAGGGAGGGAGAGAGAATGGGAGTAGGGGGGAGGAGAGACGTATGACAGGGAGAGGGGGAGAGGTCCGGAGCTCTGAGGGGTGGGGGCACTTCTGTTGGGTGCGGAAGTCCAGACACGGACAGAGGGTCAACTAAATGGATGAGCTGCTAAAAGCCTCCAGACAGGTATATTCTCACAGAGCCCCCTGCCCTGGCTAAGAGTGGGATCAGGGTCCTCAAGGGGGGGGGGGGGGCTGGATTTTCTTTGTGGCTACATAGGGAATTCTAGGCTGATTCCTCTTTTCACTCTGGCTGGCTGGCTGCCTCGGTGCATCTGTCTGTCTGTCTCTTTCATCTATTTAATCCCATTTCTCTATGTCTATCTGTCGATATCTGTCTGTCTGTCTGTCTAACTATCTTTCATCTATCTAATCCATTTCTGTCTGTCTGTGTCTGTCTATCTGTCTCCCCACCTGCCTGCCTATCTCTCTCTCTCTCTCTTTCTCTAATCTATTGGTATCTATCTATATCTCTGTGTCTGTCTGTCTATCCATGTGATTTTATATATATTACACTGCATAATCTATGTCTATTTCTCTCTCATATCTATCTATCTATCATCTATCTATCTATCTATCTATCCATCCATCCATCCATCCATCTATCTATATCATTTTATATATATTATATTGCATAATCTATGTCTATTTCTCTCTCATCTATCTATCTATCTATCTATCTATCTATCTATCTATCTATCTATCTATCTATCATCTATCTATATCTTTCTTTCTTTCTTTCTATCTATCTCCTCTATTTCTTTATCTGTATATATCTATCTATCTATCTATCTATCTATCATCTCTATCATTATGTNCCTCCGTCCTTCCGAGGGGGGTCAAATGAGGGCCCCGATTGTTGGGGGCAAGAGGCCGATTCTGTAAACCGCTTAGAGAGGGCTGGAAAGCCCTGTGAAGCGGTATATAAGTCTTAAGTGCTGTTGCTATTGCTATAATCCTGCCTTAGACATGAAGACTTGGTTGAATTTGGGCCAATCACCAGGACACTGGGAGTTCTAATCCTGCCTTAGGCATGAAAACTAGTTGGTTGACTTTTGGGCCAATCACCAGGAGATGGCGAGTTCTAGTCCCATCCTAGGCATCAAAATAGGCTGGGTGACTTTGAGCCAGCCACATCCTCTCTGCCCTAGAAAGGAGGCAACGGAAAAACCATTTCTGAAAAATCCTGCTAAGAAAACTGCAAGGATTTGTCCAGGCAGTCTCCGAGAATTAGACACAGTTGAAGAGGAGAAAAAGGGGGGGGAAATGAAGAAGATATAATAGCCTGAAGAAGAAAAAATAGCATTAATTCTTCAGGAGCTGAGCCTGACTCAATAATTTTACCTTTATTGTTTTAAACACAAAAGGCTCTTTCTGAGTATTCATAATATCCTTTACCGAATGGAGATTTGAGTAGGCTCAAGGTGTATTTTCCATCTCCCCATCAACGTGGAAAGTTAGCTAAGCACGTGGCATTTGAAAACGCGACTAAAAGAATCAATGTAAAACTTGTAATGTAATCTCCTTACGGGTAGTTATTTTGATTTGACAAGTATCAAGTTCCTAGGCCTTATGGCTGAAAAAACAAACCAAGTAGGCGTCTCTCTCTCTCTCTCTCCTCAGTTGAGTCAGTTCAGAAATACTTGTTTTTTAAAAATCATTCGGCATAAACCCCATTCTGTTTTTACCTCTTTTATCCTGACTGTTCATTTCTCTCGCAAGGAGAGAGCCCTCAGCTTAACAATTTTGCAAAAGGGGTCTTTCTTGCTAGCCCATTCCCCAAAATAATATTTAAAAAAAACAAAACACATTCTTATCCGAAACTCTGCGGTGAAAGTTTACAAGCACACATATCGTACATTCTCACTTACCCAGAACAGTATTTCTCAACCTTATCAACTTGAAGAGGACTTCAACTCCCAGAATTCCCCAGCCAGCTATGGCCAATGGAGAATTGAAGTTGATTTGAATCAGAGTGGACTGTGTTAAAGCATGCCAGCTGGGGAATTCTGGGAGTTGAGGTCCATCTGTCTTAAACCTTGCTGGCTGGGGAATTCTGGGAGTTGAAGTCCATCTGTCTTAAACCTTGCTGGCTGGGGAATTCTGGGAGTTGAAGTCCATCTGTCTTAAACCTTGC